AAGGATGAAAGGTTTGGAAAAAGATACTATGGTGAGTGGGATAGTGAGCTAATTAGATAGGTATAGAAAAATTGCCCTGTTGCAGTGAGGGCCCAGTTAAAATTATGTGACAAATTTGTAATGGACACAGCACAGTTTTGCAATTTTCTCCTGCTTCATTTAGCAGCATATAGTAGGAAAAGAGGCAGGGAATGATAGGAATAATCCAAGGCTGAGGCTTAGCTTAGTAAGATGGGCAATGCAATAGTGGGTGAGAGAGACTCAAAAAGACAGTATAGAGCTGAATTGGCTCACCAAGGTTAAAAATAGGGAAGGGGTGGGGGGCATGTAGCTAGTAGAGGAATGGTGGCCTGGCAAAGAACTGAAGGATTGAAGGTCATGGTGAGGACAAAGAACAAGGCTTGGAATTGCAAGGCAGAAGGAGAAGTAGAATAACCATAGACTATGATTGGATAAATTAATTTCAGAGTTTCAAGAACATGGAAATAGTGCATTTTGGAGTGATGGCAAGATCAAAAAAAATATGACCATCTCTGTGTGTGGCTGAGGTGTGGTTAAGGGGTCATGGGAAAAGAATGTTGAGGAACTGGGAGTTTAGTGGGTTTGAGAGAGTATCAGTATGTATGTTGACATCCCTGAATATGATGGCAAGAGTTGGGGAGAAGAGAAAGGTTGTGAACTAGGCACTGAACTTACTGAGGAAAGAAAAGGAGTGTCCTAAAGGGAGATAATCAACAGCTATCAGAATTTTGGTTAGGTGAATCCCAAAGGAGGAGAGATGAGGGTGAACTTGGAAGTGGCAATGGGGAGCTAGGAATATTACAACTACCCCACCTTGATCAACGAGCCTGAGGGGGAAAGTGTATCCAGTGCTAAAAGGGTGGGGGTGGGGGGGGCGGGGGAGACTATGTCATCTGCAGAAAACCAAGTGTCAGTGAGAGCCAGAAAACAGAATGAGAAAGAAAAAGATGTAGGGGCAGCTAGGTGGAACTAGCTGTGTGACCCTGGGCAAGTCACTTAACCCCAATTGCCTAAAAGAGAAAAAAAAAAGATGTAAAATGAAAGCAAATCTGTTACCTAAGGTAATGAGGCTTTTCACGTCCTGCTCTTTCCTACCTTTCCAGTCCTATGCATTACTCCCCTGCACATACTCAATATTTCAACTATAATTGACCTAATTATTGTTCTTCATACACAACACTGCAGCTCCCACACTTGTGTATTTCCATTGGCCATCACCCATATCTGGAATGTTCTCCCTCCTAAACTCTGGCTCTTGGCTTTCTTTTATACTCAGCTCAAATCCCCACCTTCTCCAGGAGACTTCCTGCTTTCTCCTGCTTACACTTTTCCCTCTGACATTATTTCTATCTACTAGGTATCTATCTTCTATGTAGTTATTTTCATGTTGCCTTCTCCTCAGGTTCTGTTTTGCTTCTCTTTGAACTTAGTACATAGGAAATGTATACATTTGCACATATGTGCACTGGCATATAGGAAATGCTTCACAAATATGTGTTGACTGAGTCATTGATTATCTTCAGAGTAAAGAAATCACAGGTACTTCAAGTTTTGAAAAGCTGTCATGAATTATGCTTAATGAATAAATTGTCTTGGTTTCTCCAATATATTGTTTTCTAAGCCCCTAATCATTTTCTTTGCTCTTGCTCTCTCTCTCGCTCTCTCTCTCTCTCTCTTTCTCCTCCCTCCCTCCTCCCCCACCTCACCTTCTATACTTTGGGAAATGGAGCCACATACTAGGGATATTCTTGTTTTATCCTGGTTTGTAATAAAGGACAATTCAATATAATGCAAAGAGATTTGGATTTGGAGTCAGAAGATTCAGGTTCAAATCCTCCACCACATTACCTTTGTCATCTGAAACAATTCACTTCATCTCTCTGATCTTCAGTTTCCCTAGGTCAAGAATGAAGTAGTTGAAGGTCCCTTCAAGCACTAAATAGGTCATTTCCTAATAATAGCTTTCTGAACATGAAAAATACTTTAAAATTATTGAGGCTTTATGTTTTATTTTATATTTAGGCTATAGTGAATTAGGAGTCATCATGACATTTAAAATATTTTGGGAGGGAGAGGGAGAAAAATGTAAAACTCGAAAGCATATGGAAATGATTGTTGAAAACTAAAAATAAATTATAAAAAAGTCAAAAAATAGTTCATGATTTATATTATAGGCAGGGATGGAGGTAACAAGATACGTTAGAGGGAAAATAAATGAAATTTCTTGATTTAAATGTGCAAGGATGAGTTCTCTGAGCAAGGTTTACATGACTATGCAGCACTTTAGCAATGCTGCCCAACTCACTTACTATGCAACAAGTCTTCTCTAGTGAGAGTGTTACACTGGGTTTCAGTGGAATAGGTTTCTCTCTTAATGTTGGACAGACTATTGCTAGAGCTCGGTATTAATCAAAAGCAACATGGTGACTAGAAAAAGCATGGTCCTGGGACTCCAAAAAAACCCCAAAAGGTGGGCTGGAAAATGTTTAACAACTGGTTCTTTGGTGTATATGTGTATGGCATGTACAAGTAACACATTTTTAAGGCTAATCTGTATTAACATTTTCTTCATCATTTTCTTAAGTCTAGACAGTCAGCAAAACAATAAATAAGCTCTAATGTGTAGCATTTTCTAACACTGGAAATTTAGTGTTCATCTCTCTTAAGTTGGTTCAAGCTGGCTCTAGCACACCCCTAGCTAGAGACCTTGACTTCGCTCCTAGCTGTGTGACCTTAAGGAGATCACAGTTTCTCTGGGCTCTAGTTTTCTTATCTATCCAATGAGGGAGCTGGATGAGATGTTTGATGTCCTCTTCAGCTCTATAAATCTGATTCATAATCAATTGCATTCTTTCAAAAGGCCTAACCTAATTCATGGCAGATTATGGCTTTGGATAAGAATGGGTCTACCACTTAGGTGTGACTCAGAACACAAAAGTTGGGATGCACTACTTTGGAAATAGGCTTACCTATCTCCACCAATCAGAAATGTCAAGTATCAAGACTGTCTCCTTCAATAATTTATTTTTTTAAAATACTTTTCTCAAAAGTTACATTTACTTAATAAAAGCTGAAGAAATTTTAAAAAGATAAATGAGCATCCTATTATAATCCTAAATGTGCAAATTTCACATTTTTTCCCAAACTCATACATAAATATTTGAGCTTTTTGACATTAACAATTAAAAGCTTTACAAATGAAAATGATAATAAAATACTAGGTTAAATGAACATGAGGGAACATTATTGGGATTCTTGTTTTTCTGCTTTAAGTTTTGTTTCTTTAGAAAAAAATGAAAAACAAAACAAAACAAAACAGGACAGACAACGAAGCTTTCACCAGTGCCAATTACTCAAGAAAGGCAAAGTGTATATGTATCTTTATACGTAAAGCTTGTCTGTAAATGTGGCCTGCCCACATGCTTTCAGCCTGGAATTCTAGAACAAAAATATGCATCTTTAGCACTAGGGAAATTTCATTTCCCTCTTTGGGGACCAGATGTGATTGTGAGACAATAACAGTGGAACATTGCATTGATACAAGTGAGATTTAGAACTTGCTTCCTTGTTCTGTTAACCCTGGGAAAGGTTTGATGGCTTCATTTCTGATCCACACGGGTTCTGATCTCTGTCCGTGGATATGAAGCCTCTCTACCCATTCCCTCAGGAAGCAGTCACAAAGAAAAGGTCCATGACAGTATGCCACCCAATTCCTGACAGGTTCTCTGACCCCTTCCCAGTTTCATCTCAGACCATGAGCAAACTTCCTCTTATTGCAGCTGGGGGAAAGAGGCCCTAGCAGTTGTCCCAGAAGAACCACAGTGAAGTTGGAATTAATTCACTTTTTATTTCTTCTCTTTTCTGTGAGGGGGGAATCAAAGTGTTTTTAGCATTCAGACATTCTCACAGTGGCCAAGAATAATCCAAATGCAACAATGTGAACTGATGAGAATATACTGACTCAAAAAAGAAACTCCAGTATTTTACAAATAGCAGGAGAAATGTACACTTAAATAACCAAGATGTTTATAATAAAATAAATAAGATAGATCTCATGAAAATATTTCAATAATTACAAAGAATAACCTTAGTTTTTACTCCTTTTAAAAAAGGCAGCAAGTCTGATTTTTTTTACAAGCTGTGCACGTTGTGCCCAAATGACAACCAAAAAAACAGGTTATTTCATACTTCTATAAGTGGATTAATATATCATTCAGTTATAAAATAATCCCTCATATATAATATAAGGACATATGACCAGCTCTGGAGGCAAAGGACCCGCATCCAAATCCTGCTTCTGATATTTACCACTTGTCTGATTTTGCCTCTCTGGGCCTCAGTTTCCACATGTGTAAAATCAAAGAGTTGGACAAGATGACCTCTGAGGTCCCTTCCAGATCTAGATCTATGATCCCAAGTCAATTATATATGCATACAATTGGCATTCACATCTCTGGTCACATCAAATGCCTTGAGAGGAAGGACACTGACAAGTAAAAAGGGTTATGTCATCTCCCCCAAATGTTTTGTCTTTAAAAAGGTGCATGTGAGGAAAAAGAAAGAGCAGCTTGTTTTTTTCTTGTTTCAGTCCTGACTTCTCCTTGTCACTTAGATTCAGCAGCTATTGATTGATTGATTCCAGAATCCACATGTCTGCTTTTGTCATGACCCATGTGAAAGGAACCAGCAGGTAAGGGAAAAGAATACTGTCAGGTTCCTGTCTCTCCTTTTAGGTATTTTCTCCCTGTGCTTGCTTGAGCATTGCCTGGAAGGTCTTTTCACCAGGAGAATCCAGGTTCACATCCAGAAGACATGCTATTGTTGTTCAGTCAACTCTTCATGACTCCACTGAGGTTTTCTTGGCACACATTCTGGAGTGCTTTGCCATTTCCTTCTCCAGCTCATTTTACAGATGAGGAAATGGAGGCAAACAGGGTTAAATGACTTGCCTAGGGTCACACAGCTAGCAAGTGTCTGAGGCTGGATTTGAACTCAGGAAGAGGAGTCTTCCTGACTCCAGGCTCTGTGCTCTAGCCACTGCACCACCTAGCTTCCCGTGAGACATACTGAGCTGGGGGCTAAGGCAAAAGGAGGTTCAGCATTCTGCATGCCTTCCAATGTGTATCTTTGCCCTCTGACATCACACAGGGCTCACAAGGTGAGAGAGACGTATTCACACCCCAAAGTACAAGCTACTGTCCAGGTACAGTGGGCATTCCAGGTTTCTCCATGTCCCCAGGTCTCAGAATGTGGAGACTGTATGAACTCACAAAGGGGGAGTGGCCTTGAGGTGATCCCAGAAATCCACAACTGCAAAGCTCAAGACTCTGTACCCTAGGGCAGGAGGTAAGTTTTCCTAGAGGTGCCCTAGGCCCCATAATTCCTCAGGTGAACATACCTACTGCCAGACTCCTGGTGGACAGCCTATTCTCCTACACTAAAACCTCCATGGTATATTCAATTCCAGGGGCTAGCCCTCAAGTGAAACAGCCAAATGTTTACATGATAGCACCATTTTAGCCAAAAAACTCAGGTTCTTTCATATCTGGGAGGTGGTCTGGCTGTTTCTGATTAGCCATACAGCTGTTTGAACTGATAGCATTCATTGCAGTACCCATTACACTTGGCGTTGCCAAAGTGATCACAGGCTGGGGCTCGGCAGCGTTGCTTGGGCAGCTCTTCTGTAATGGGCTCTCCTCTATGGATGCCAGGCCCCAGTCGCTGGTTATGTCGCTGGCACTCTGCACACAGCTCTTCCCCTCTGTGAGCCACAGGGTTTTTACATGCCGCCTTAGAACATTTTTTTCTCTGAGAGCTCTGGGTTGTCCGTTGAATGTCCCGGCACTGGCTGGATCTCTGAATGGAAGAATTCAAAAGAATGATTAGTTTGTAAAGTCCAAGGAAGAAACAAATAGAATTCAATTGAATTTTTTTTTCCTGTGGCATCCTGTATTTATTATCACTATTATCTTTCTCAAGACAATGTGGAAAAAAACCCAACAACTCACGGGCAGATTTTCAGGTCAAGGTCTTTAAAAGGGGAAAAGTATAAAAGTCCCACCTTTTCAGTACCAGAAAAGACCAAAGAGGCTTCTATAAAGTAGGTTGGTTGGCTCAAATCATTATTTGTAACCCAGATCCTGCCAAGCTATAACTTTTGGGGGAAGAGTTTACTGTTGCTTTACATAGCTCTGCTATCTTTTCATCTCTCTTTGTCATGTACAGAAAAATCAATACCATAGCAGGGCCACATAAAAAAAAAAGTCACTCCCCTCAATAATTGTGGGTCACATAAAAACCAGAGCTTTAGTGTTCTGATTAACAAAGTTATTTTTTCTCACAAGCACCTTCCTATAAATTTGAAAGCCACTTCACAACCAGTGTCTTTTTTCCCACCCCTGTGCCTTGCCATTCCAATTAGGAAGCAACTGGGACACTCGATACTTCTGATAGTGTCTTTGAGTGCTAATGCTGGCAATTATGGATAATGACTGTTGACCAGTCACTGAGGGGTCCGCACCAATTCACACGGATTCAAAGTGGAATTATCTTGATATGTCATATCATGTGCTTGGGAAGCTCTGCATGTATAAACATTATGGTTTATTTTACTCATTTTTGGAAAAATGAGCGCTAAAGCAAATTGCAGCCAGGAGAATGCCCTGACTTATTGTCCTTCAGTGCTGCCCAATTGGGAAGCTGATGCCACAGTGAATTTTGAGACTGGTTTGCAGGAAAGGACTTAATTCCCTAACGGTTTGGGGTGTCTCTTCTTTCTTTTTTTTAAATTTTTTTTAGAACTCACTGGGTAGGTCTATGTATTACTGTGGAAAGAAAATGCACTGTCCTAATGAGCTTAAGGACCTCTCACACATCTGTGGGTGGGGCTGGCTGCCATCTCTTATGTACCTCTGATTGTCTCACCAGCTGCTCTTCAGTCCTTTTTGCTTCATGAAATCTCTGGTTCTGGGCTTCAATGAAACATTTCTGACAGTATCCCTCAAACAAAGTGCTTCCAAGGGTGCCACATCCTCTCCCAAGGCAGGGAATGTTATTCTGGAATCTGGAGGCTGAGGGACTGGTCTGACCAGAAGCAGGTGGGTCGCCTGGAATGAAATAATATGCCAGTCAGTACGGACAACCAAGCAGTCATGAAGATGTGGAGATTACAAATTAAATCAACTCCAAATGCAGAGTGGGAGCTCATAAAGAATAAAAATGGAGTATAGCCATCTTGTTGTAATTAGATAGCACCCCTCTCCCTTAAAAAAGATACTATTGGAACATCTTTGTTTTCATAAATGAATCCCTACTTTTTGCTAGAGTAGAGATTTCTAAAGAAAACAATCTCTAAAAAGCATCTGCATATCCTTCAAACATTCAAAAGTGATCGGGGGAAGGGAAGAGAGAATTGGGCAGACAAATCCACAGGCCATATGTTTTTGCACAGCCTGCAAGCTAATGATTTTTTTTTAACATTTCAAAATACAACAGAACTTTATTTTAAAATGTAAAAATCATTCTTAGCTCTCAGGCCGTACAAAAGCAGAAGGCACACTAGTTTTAGGTAGCCAACCCCTGTATTAGAGGCTTTAACAACTCAAAAGGTGTTATGTAAAATTTCACTAAACAGGGCCAGCAAGGCTAGCCCCTTCAAGGAAATCCAATCTCCCTCCTTAATCCAATCTACTTTAGTATTTAGCAAGCCCCTGCTATGCAAGGCACAGTTCGAGGTTCTGGGGGATCCAAAAGTAAAACAAATGAAAAACTCAGCTCCTGCCTTCAAATTTCCATTTTGATTGGCTCCTATCCTTCCTCCTGGGGCAGCTACTGGGCTCAGTGGTAGAGTGCTGGGCCTGGAGTCAAGAATACTCATCTTCCTGAGTTCAAATCTGACTTTAGACACTTACTAGCTGTTGTTAACCCTACTTCCTTCAGTTTTCTCATCTATAAAATGAGCTGGAGAAGGACATAGCAAACGACTCTAGTGTCTTTGCCAAGAAAATCTTAAATGGGGTCACAAAGAGTCAGACATAACTCAAAAAGAACATCCCTCCTCCCGATTATTCTCTGGATAGAAGTTTTATCATGTTTACTTTTGGCAAATCAGACGGGTTGAAATCACAAATGAGAGAAAGATAATATTCCCTACCACATGAATGTGTTTTCATTCTTATCCTCATGATGTCATTTATGTAGTGCTTTGGAATTGGCAACCCTCTTACACTAAGCTCATCTCCTTTTTCTGAAGACATGCATGTGTTTCTTCTTAATGGAATAAGGTATACAATCTAGTTGTAACCACAACAATAGGCCACAACAATGTGGAACTACTATTTCTCGAATTAGAATCAGAATCACTTTCACCTGGTTTGGATTCAAGAAACTTACTGCAAATTCATTTCCCATTTTTCTGTTTAGGTTAAGAGAATACCAATAGATCACCTTGTGTCCAGCCAGCAATGTCTGACATTACATGTCACCTAGAATGTTTCCCTTTCTCCAGGTTGTAATCTTATTGCAAAGACAGACTATCTCTATCAAAGCCACTTGCTATATGTGAATTGTTTTGCAAACCTTAAAACACCACATAAATGACAGTTGTTTTTCTTTAATGATATCATAGGATACATAGTTTCACTCACGGTTATTTTCTAGGTATTCGATGAAACACAGAGTGCAAAAGCCGCGGTTTTCTGGCGTCCCAAAGTACATGCAGCCAGCTTTTCGGCATTTATTCGTTCCAATCCTGTTCTCTGGATTCCGTCCAACCTGGGAGATGATGCCGGGAGGGGCCTCATGACCATTTCTATGGCAGGGATGCTGATGGATACTCTGGCTCAGCTGAGAGGGATCAGAGAATGATCTCTGATGGCAGGAAGGAGGAAAACTGGAGCTGATAGGGAAAGGCTCTGTAGTCCTTTTGAAGCAAGTACTACAAATCCCATTAAAGGTCCTAGTGACATCCTGGTGACAGGCCTGGCACTTCCCATCATCCAAATGCCTGTGGTTGCTTGGGTCACAGCCGGGATTGAGCTGCCGAGAGTTATGGCAACGTTCACAGAACCCATTGTGTTGCACGTTCAGGGTGAAGGGACATCCAGGGTTTTTGCATTTCATCGCAGTTGTTTCACTAAACAGAAAGAGGCTGGGGGCAGTCGGGGGTGCAGAGTGAGGCCCCACTGCTGGCAATTCCTCAGGCTTCCACCCAGCACGCTCACAAACTTCACCCTGAGAAGTACCCAGTCCTACACCAGGGAGTTTCTCTACCCCTGGCTTAGAGGTCTGTTTTCTTGGTTTATTTTGTATGTTGTGCCGCCTCTCAAAGCATTCATGGCAAAAAGGCTGCGTGTTTACTGACATGAAGAATGGACAGTTTGGAGTTTCACATTTGACTTCCATGAGGGAAATCTGGGGCAGGTGGGGCTCCAGTCCATTCCTAGCACGGGCCTCTCTATGATTCAGCTCAGCGTTCTCTTGCCACTTCTTGTACTCATGCTGAACGAGCTCAAAGTAGTCTTCTACCAGATTTATCTCTTTGGGTAAATTAGCTTCATCCAACCTAGAGATCAAGAAAAGTGGGACAGCATTTACAACACTGACAACAAGACAGGAAATTTGGCAGGATAAGCATTATATAACTGGGTGAAACTGAACATTATATTAAAGGACCTTCATTTCCAAATTGCCATAGCCCCCCAATTAATCCATTGACAAGTATAGTAGAGTCATATGTCAAATAAATAAAAACAGCCTCCTAGGAAGAAGGTATCCTTTCTTTATACAAAATATCATATCACTGCTGTGCCATTTGGCAAGTCACTTTATCTTTCTGGGACTCAGTTTGCTCATCTGTAAAATGGGCAACTAAGTGGTGCAGTAGATGTCGTGGCAGGCCTAGAGTCAGGAAAACTCATCTTTCTGAGTTCAAATCTGACCCCCGACATTTACTAGCTGCATGAACCTGGGTAAGTCACTTAACCCAATTTGCCTCAGTCTCCTCTTCTGTCAAATTGAGCTGGAGAAGGAAATGGCAAACCTCTCCAGTACTGTTGCCAAGAAAACACCAAATGGGGTCACAAAGTGTTGGACATGACTGAAATGACTGAACAACAACAAAAACGGGGTTGGATGACAGAACCTCTAAATTCCCTTCAAGTTCTAAATTTATGATATATCCACTCAGTCAACTTTGGTTTATTAAAAATAGTGCCACATTTGAAGAAATTGCTACCATCTAGCCTTCTTGTACCATATATGTTAATGCCCTAGAGTGCTGAGGGGAGAAAAAGTTTGCTTTCAGTTACTTGAGAGTTAACTCCCTCCCCACCCCACTCCCAAAATCTTCCACCTATCAAAGTATTGTTAAGATTACGAATAGAACGTGGTCAAACTTTTGGTCCCAGCTTTCCTGAAACTTCAAATTACCTTAAGATTTCAAATGCATCTATTTTGCTTCTATTTGTCTTAACTTTCCATGGTGGTCACTAATAAGTAGGCATGGTTCTTGGGCACTCTTTGTTTGCTTTTGCATCCCTCTAATTTGGGGGTTTGCTCTAATTTGTCAGTTTCTTAGCACTGGAACACTGCTTCCTTCATCCACTCTCATCGCCATCTCTTATTTATGTCTAAAATCTTCAGGGGGCAGCAGGGATTTCTCTAGCTTCAATTCAATTCAATTTGATTTGACAAGCATTTATTAAATATTTTCTATGTAGTAGGCACTATTCAGGGACATAAGACATAAGGGAAACAGCCCCTGTCTTTAGGAGCTTATGTTCTCCTGGGGGACACAATGAACCTTCATTTCTGTCACTAATAAAGGTATGATGACAGAAGAGAAGATAAAGAGTCCATCTCTGACTCTCTGTCTCTGTCTCCCCCATATCAAGCAGGAAAGGAAACTTGGGTCATATATTGTAAAGTCAAGTAACTTTGAAAGATCACAGAACTCTGCTTCAGTAATTAACCACAATTCCACTGGACTAATGATGAACCATGCTACTACCCACCTCCTAAAAGATGACTGATTCAAGATATTGAATGAGATACACATTTGGACAGAGCTAAGCTGGGAATTGTTTTATGTGACTATGCATATTTGTTGAAAGGATTTAATTTTCCTCTTTTTTTCCCCCAGGTGGAGGAGGGTCAGAGGGAGAAAACAAATACTTGTTAATGGAAAAAATAAAATGTGGGTTGTAATTGTTCTTTGTATACCTGATTTATGAAAGGCTATTATTACCAGGAATTTCTATGATGATTTAAAGAACATGTAAATATTCTAAATAAATATACATATCTAAAATGTAATATAGTTTAAATAAATATGTAAATATATAAAGACATATAAAGTTCATCAAGATAGGAAATAAAACTGAACCCTCCTAAAATACATTTTAAAAAAATCTCTGGGGCAGCTAGGTGGCGCAGTGGATAGAGCACCGGCCCTGAAGTCAGGAGGACCTGAGTTCAAATACGACCTCATACCACACACTTGATACTTTCTAGCTGTGTGACCCTGGGCAAGTCACTTAACCCCAACTGCCTAAAAAAAAGAAAGAAAAAAAAGGGGAAAAAATCTCTCAGTGACTCTTTTTCTTGTTCAAATATGCCATCTGAAACTGGTTTGCACTGCCTGAATCTGAGCTTGAGAATCAATCATATGGCATTCCTAACTTATTCACACCTCCAAAAGAATGCAGTGGGTCAGTCCTCACTTTATTTCCCAGTAGAGGAAAGGAGATTTCAACAAAGCTAAAGCTCAGCTTCAGGGAAGTTGCTTGAATATTCTCTTAGGATAAAGCATAAAAATGCTAAACACACCAGCCAACAGGAAGACACTTACTTTGCAGCATTGATTAAATGAGTTGTCCCGTGGTCCCAGCCTTGCACAGGGATTTCTACCACAGTCAGGTACTCTTTAAGTAGCTTCTCCTTCATCTCTGCTTCGGGCTCTGTTAGAAAATGAACTTTCAAGTCCTCAAACCTTCCTCGATCTCTGTTAACAAGTGGAACAGCTCTGATTTCTGAGAAGAAAATGACATATGGACTTTTACTTGGTAAATGAAATCATAAACACGCTACGAACATTTCCGAATAAACAGTACACTAGCAAAGAGTGCTAGATTCAGAGCCAGAGGACCTGTGGGTCCTGGCTCTGCTACTTACTATGTGATCTTAGGCAAGGCCTGGGCCTCAGTCTGTTCAACTCTAAAATGAGGGGGTTGGGCTACATGGCTTCTGAGGTCCCTTCTAGCTTTTAATTCATGAAACCATAACTAGGAATGATAGCATAAACCAGTTGGGGGCGGGGGGGGTGGTGGTGGTGGTGGTTTCTCAGAACAGAGTTGCCTAAAAACTAAATCATCACTGAACTGGCAAAAAGGACCACAATTCTTCTGTTCTGTTTACTTCCAGCACTCAGACAGAATATTAACAAGAGTATACTTCTAAAAACTCTTCTAATTCTTTACAGAAGTACTTCACTGGTTTTAGGTAAAGCAAGCATTATATTTACTAGATGATGTGACAATTAAACTTTTTCAAAGACACATTTTCATTTAAATCAGGAATGCAACAGACTCCAAACAGGAAAGGAAACAATTAGCACAAACGTTTAAAATAAGCTGAGTTTAAGTCATAGCTTAATTTTCCTACCAGGTCCGCTGTCCTTAAGAGTGACCAGTGGTGCAAAGTGCTGGCTGTCATAACCAAGGACGATGGGATATCTATAACTCCTGGGCAGGCCAATGGAGAGGCAGATAAATTCCACCAACTTTCAAAGGAGCAAAATTGGAACCAGATTCTAAGCTTCTCAGCATTTTGTCTGTGTAGGAAAAGAAGGGAAAAATAAACCACTGAGAGTTATCCACACCAAATTCCTTTCAACTATTCACTGCTGTACTAGGTCAATATGGCCTTTTTTCCATCGCAAGAAACACAGTGAAATTTTAGACTACATCCTAGAGATGACAACTTTAAAGTAGAGAAGAGCTTCAATGTTCACTGATTGAAATGTACACCAATTGAAACACCTCAACTGAAATCATGTGACTCTCACCTGAAATAACAATAATTGGCCTTCTGAGGATGTTAGAAAGAACAAATATGTGGATTTCCTCAAGTGAGTTATACTGAAGCCCACTCCGGGCTACTGATGTATCTGTGGATGCCATTTTGATAAGATTGTCCCACTCCTCATTCCAGTTCTAAGGAAAAAAAAATAAAAAGGTAATTTAACGTAATTTGTCTTTCCCTCCCCTGACCCAGTCTAAGTCTATTCATCTGTACCACTCAGTTTTATTTTTCCTCTTCTCTATAAAATCATTTAAATAACCTAATAGTCTCTCTCCCTTTACCCCACCCCACCCTCCCCTCATCTTTTTTTTTCTTTTAGTCACTTTTTCTGTTATAATTCAAACTCAAAACTAAAGCACTTAGGGAGCTGTGAGGGAAACTGGGGACAATATTTGCCTAAAATACCTTGAAGTGACATAAAATGAAAAACCTTCATCCAAATTGTCCACAAAAATTCCATACTCGTGACTTGGAGAGAGATGAGTTGGATTATACATACATGCCTGAATCTGACTCACTGCCTCAATAATGTATGTAAAGGCAATGACACATGAAAACCAGGAGAGGCTCCTGAAGAAAGCCATCTTCGGAGATTCTTCTCTCCTAAGAAAGATCCTGAGCAGGAATTCAGCCACCATGAGGTCTTCTGTGGCACCTGTGCCCTGCCCTGCCTTCCCTTCCCCGAGACGCACACAAAGAATTAACTGCTTAGTATTTCCCAAGGAGCACACTTTGCTTGAACAGAATCTTCTTACCCTGGTGTCATAACGGAGGCCTGTTTCCACAAATTCTTGGGATTTCAGAGACTCCAGCTGCCAACGGAATTTGAAGTTGCGGATATCGGTCTCTTTCAGAGTGCTATATAGTGCCTTCCTCAGGACCAGGTCAGTATCTTGAATGCCCCACATGTACTGTGATGCAGCATGCATGAGGCAATTCCCATCACCTGCGGAAAAAAGCATGTACACTGTTACTGCCCTTCACTAACACTGACATGGAAATGATGAGAAGAGAGAAGAAGCAAGAAAAAAAGAGGAATTTGTTTAGGAAGCCTAGTAAATGCTTTCCAGGACAAATGGGGTTTAGTCTTTGAGCTCAGGGTTTTAATCAATTGCTTGATTGGTCAACAAGCATTTACTGATCCCCAGGATCACTGCTTCCATTTCACAGTTAGAATGGTGAGAGGAGGGGCTGTTTTTTGTTTTGTTTTGGTTTTTTGGGAGGGGGGAAGAAAGGGGATTCTTATTTAATGCAAGGATACTCAAAATTTATCTTAAATGAAGGGTAGTAGAGTGCAGTAGAGAGAGAACTGAACCCCAGTACCAATGAACCTTTGTGGTCATTATAGGAACACTGCTGGAAGGAATCTTGAGTCCAATCCTCTCATTTTCTAGATTAGGAACTGAGACAGAGGGGTTAAAGTTAACTTGCCCAGAGTCATACAACAAGTAAGTGTCTAAAGGCATGAGGTGAAGTCGGGTCTGATTCCAAGTTCACAGCTCTATCTATTTTGTCACCTAGATGCCTCAGTTTCTTCATCTGTAAAATAAGGAGCTTAGACTGGATAATAGTCATTAACATAAATGCTGTGCTTTCAGGTTTGCCAAACAAATACATAATCTCATTTCATTCTCATGACAACCCTTCAAAGAAGAAGTTACAGGCATTATTATCTCTCTCTCTCATTTTACAGGTGAGGAAACAGGCTAAATGAATTGACTAAGTCAGAGCTGGGGAACCTGTGGCCTCGAGGCCATACTTGGCCTTCTAGGTCCCTGGGTGCAGTCTTTCGACTGAGTCCAAGTTTTACAGAACAAATCCCCTTAATAAAAGGATTTGTTCTGTGAAGTTTGGATTTGGTCAAAGAGCAGCACTTGAGGACATAGAGAGCTCCCCACCCTTGGACTAAGTGATTTGTTCAGAGTTGCAGAGCTAATCAAAACTGGGTCTAACCCCTCCTTGGGTCTCTCCAATATGCCACACTTTCACACCTTAGAGAGCACTTTGAGAGGATTCCCAAATTGTGCTCTTCTGTCCCTTTCAGCTTTTACATTCTGGGATTCCACCATCCAGGGACAGTGATACCAAGGATTTATAATTCCTAGGGAAAAGGCCACTACCAGGAAGCAGTCCTGGTTTTTCTTACCAGGCATGGGGACTGGGATTGCTAGTGACTCACACTGAAATGACTGGGCTATATCACTTTACCCTTGGTGCCCGAGAGTTTCCTCCCAGTTGTAATGTAGGGCTGGCAAGACAAAGCTGCCCCACAGGAATGTGGTGTGGTACCTGTGTTGTCAGCAGTAGAGAAGCACTTATTTAAATGGCTAACTCCTCATTAAAAATCATAACGTGCCATGGAAATAAGGGTTTGAAAATTCCTTAGGTCAAACAGCATGTGCTCCCAGCAATTGGGGCTGAAGTGTAGAAGGCACTAGTTCGAAGAAAGGGAAGTATGACTATTTTTAAAAGGTATTATTTGGGAATTATTTTAAGTAAAAAAGCATGAACTCCATACGGACCTTGCATTTTCTCAAAACTCTCAAGCAACAAATGCACTCAAATATGTGTCTCATTTGTTGAACTGAATTGAGAGAGACACAATCACACACAAACATACAATCCTCAATTCTTTGAGAAGCCTACAGTTGCTTAAAACCAAAACAAATGGTTTTCTAATGTGCCTAGGCCAATAGTTTTGGAGTCTCATAATATTTTCATCCCGATCAAGTTTTTCAAAATACTTAGATATTTCTCAAACTGACATTCTTTCTATTATTTTGTTTTTGTTTTAATCATGAAAATTGTACAGAAAGGCTGCCTGAGCAAACATCCAGACAAGTAAACGGAAAAGGATCACTGAAGTCTTGTGTCTAGGCCAGAAGTGTGGCAACTATTAAATTCTGTTGAAATTTCCCCTTTGCAAAATCTAGAGCAAAGATAAGGCTTTTTTTTTTCCTTGTTCTTACTTTCAGTTCTTTATTGAGACTCACCAGTACAAAATTCCCTCAGTAACACTTGGAATTCCCCAGTGCCAAGTTATTTGACTAGCAATTGAGCAACTGCCATTGTACTTTTTGTTCTGGTGTGTAGACATTTAAACTGTGAAGCGCATACTGGACTTTCCAAGTGGGTGTGGTTAGGGTGAGCTGGAATAGGCCTATTCATTATACAAGTGAAATCGCAGTAGCCAATAGACGCTGGAATTTTTCGCATGAAGTTTCAATTTTATACCACCTACTCCCTTCCTCATTCACTCTAGTCTCATATCCTCAAATGCAAACATTGTGAATCACGTATCATCTCTTTCTCCCCATTTCCAAACCATCCAGTAATTTTATATAATTCATTTTATATATTAAGTCAGGGAAAAAAAGTGTTAATAAAAATCCTAGATGAAATGGCATTTGTTGTGTTTTTTTTTCCTTCCTTCCTGAACATCTCTCCTCCCCTTTTCAGACCTTATAAGGTTCTCATAAGGGAAGGGGAAGAATAAGCAACTGTAACTTTAAAAGAAAAAAAAAAGCCTAAAAAAGTCTTTGCCCAGAAAATACCACCCAAATTCCTAAAAACAGGCATGCTTGTTATCATTTGGCATCTTCACCTGGGAATATTCTATGGATAAAGACCTTTTAAGAATATCAACAGCAATGATGATAACTAAAATGTGTTTACTGTACTAAGTTTGGCAAACCACTTTTTTAAAAAAAGCATAGATTATCTCATTTGATTTTTATGCCAGTTTATGAAAATGCTTTCATCAACAGAAAATATTTCCCATACACTTTTTCCTGAAGAAAATTAAGTGCTTACAACCAACAAACCAGAGGCAATCCACAAATACTTGCTGATACCTACTACGTGCAAAGTACTCCCTGCTAAGAAGCAAGTTTCACAAACTCCTAATTTGGCAAGGCCACTCCCCTTCCTCAATCCTCCCCACCCTTTCCCATGACTCCATTCCTCCTGCTAATGAATGGGGAGGCAATGAAAACCATTTCCCAGGAGACACCACAGCCTGGCTAGATCCTTACTTAACATCACCACTGAAAACTATTTGTGTCTATCAGAACAAACGATTCTGTTAGGAGCTGTGCAGACAAACAATCCACCTTGCTTTCTCTATGACAATTTATGAAGTATCACCCATGCAAAGTAGAAAGATGGTCTTGAATTCGGGCAAGACCTAGGCTCCAATACTGCCTCTGGTAGCTATGTAACTATGGCTGTGTCATTGAACCTCGCGGAGTCTCAGTCTTCTCATCAGTAAAATGGGAATAATACCTACAGCTTCTATCCCCACAGGGTTGTAAAAATCAAATGAGATAATCTATGCTTTTTAAAAAAAAGTGGTTTGCCAAACTTAGTACAGTAAACACATTTTAGTTATCATCATTGCTGTTGATATTCTTAAAAGGTCTTTATCCATAGAATATTCCCAGGTGAAGATGCCAAATGTTGATGCTATTTCATCTCTGGATAATTGCCTTTTCATAATGGTCAGCAAGCATCAAAGACCTCTGTTCTTATCAGTAAGGTTATACTAATTTTAGCAATATTACTAATGATAGGAAATACTGTGCTTCCGGCTTCTTACCCAGGAATAAGAATCCCATTCGGACGACTTTCTAGTGGTCATCACACGTATCCACAGACTGCAATGTCTACATCCACGTCAACCAACCAAACCATTTTTAGAGAAATAGTGGAAGCTATCCAGGAATCATTTAAAACTAAGTAACAAACTTAAACTGTGAACCTGCTGTGATTTTTAAGGAGAATCAGACAACTCTATCAGCAGCCTACAGGAAGGGGAAAGGAAGAATCAGACAACTCTATCAGCAGCCTACAGGAAGAAAGATCACAAGCAACAACTAATGGAAAACAGCTCAAAAATAGGGAAAACATTTGATATGTTTCTACTCTTTCTTTCTTTCTTTCTTTCTTTCTTTCTTTCTTTCTTTCTTTCTTTCTTTCTTTCTTTCTTTTTCTTTCTTTCTTTCTGGCACGGCAATTGGTGTTAAGTGACTTGCCCAGGGTCACACAGCTAGTAAGTGTCAAGTGTTTGGTTTGAGGTCTTCCTGACTTCAGGGTCTGTTCTCTATCCACTGCACCCCCTAGCTGCCTCTCTATTATTTCTTAAGAGAAGAATAGGAAATCAACAGATGGTAGATTTAAAGCTGGGAGAGACCTTAGAGCAGCAGTTCTTAACCTGGGAATCACAGACCAAGGGTATGTGGATAGTTTTCAGGCAGTCTATGAACTTAGATTGGGGGTAGGGTGGGGAATCTTCAACTCAAACAAGGTTAAGAGAGAGAAAGCTGGCAAAATGCTGAAGACCACAAACCCTCCACATTTATATTTAATATTCCCTAGGCTCAAAAGTACAGATCAAATTTTTTGTGTAAATAATGGGTCTTTCCTTGGAAGGGTTTAGAGCTCTTTAAAACCTTGTTTACTGGGGCCATGATGGGCATTTATTACAGGTGGTAAACTCGATATACAAAAGCAGGTAGATGACTTGCCCAAGGTCACAAATCACTTAAAGCCTCCAGCCCAACTGTCTTAACCCTCCAAGTATTCTCTACTCTAACATGTTTCATTAGAAAACAATGTTCACTTTAGAAAACACAACAAAACAAAAACAGCTCACGCTTAGACAACACCCCTTATTGAGGTTCCCAAGCCAGCTGAATCATCCAATTAGGCATTTTACATTTGATTATAATGGAGGTTCAGCTCTTGCACATAAACAGATCCTCGTGGGAGACTCATCTTGTCAGAGTGCTCCCCTCCAGCCCGCAAAACCTTAATCAGAACCCTTTACTGGGAGTCCCAGTAGCAACCTAAACTCAGGGCTGCGAGGGACCTCAGACTCACCATTCGTTTTTAGTGCCACAAGCTTCCTGACTTCACGGCACCAGTTCAGCTTTCTCTGGCTTTCTAGGGAAGTTTGGATGCTCCTGTCCATCAGAGCCACAAGGATAAACTCCCGGAATTGAGGACAAAACTGACAAGTCCTGAACATCTCCACCGTATATCTGTGCATGGTCTTAAAGTGATAAATTATCCCATTTGTAGGCTTGACAATATCTTCAGGGGTTCTCTCTCTTATCTTCACAGCTTTTCGCATGTTGCTCAGATACAAAGCCTGGGGGAGAACCTGCTGTTCAGCCATGTTGTTGTAGAATACCTGAGAAAGGAAATAAACAAACCAAAAACAATCTATTAGGTTGGTCTTAATATCTACTCTGATATATCTACACATAGAAAATCAGAGTTCGAATCTCACCTTTACCTTAATATGGAGGCAACAGATTCGAATCCTAGTTGCATCTATGTGCAGGATGCTCATTGGTACTGAAGTTTTTACTAACACTGGACTGTTGCAAGTTACATCACTTTTAAAGATTAATCTATACAAGAGTAGGAAGGAGGAGAGTGGGCATTGAGGAGGAGGGGAATAACCCGTGTTTAAGTAATGCCTGTCACAGAGCCAATTCCGCCTGTGAGCAAAGGTCCATAGTATGTGTCTCATCATTGGTTCTGACTCTGATGCAGGGGAATGAGGTTCACCAAGAACTAACTACTCTGAACCATAAAACATCAGCTACTACTTAGGAGCTCAGTGTGGCCACTGGCTGCCTGCAGGGCCACCCCCAAGTACCAACCAAGAGATCCTAATACTGCTAAGCTGTTGGCTTTTAGAACTCAAGCCCTTTATTTCTTTACTGGTATGGAAAGTGAAAACAATGCTTTCATAAACGCATCAGGCATATTGATCATTTCTTCTTTTTAGGGCCTGAAACATTTATAAGGAAATTTGAGGTTCAATGCCATCAAACCACTGATGATGAAAATCTCTTCTCTCTCTTCAAAACAATACCTGACCAATGACTGTTTAAAGCCATCATACATTTCATTTTTTAGAACTTCTTTTTTTCAAGATCATGGATTTAGAGTTGGGGGGGGAACCCTGGATAAGCCATTTATTCCAACCCCTTCACTTTAAAGATGAGGAAACTGAGGCCCAGAGAGTTAAGTGACTTGTCTATAATCATATAAGTAGTAAGTGACTCAGGGAGGACTTGAATGTAGGTCCTGAGTCTAAAGTCCTTCTACTGTATCAGACTGTTTCCCACTTTTATTCATTATTTCTTTAGAGCTTAGAAATACCCCTGTGAAGTGATGCTCTTGTTATTAGAAGTATTATTAGGCTCCATTTTACAGAAGAGGAAACTGAGGAAGAGGAAGGGATAAGTGATTTGCCCAAGGTGCAAAGTCAGGGAGCACAAGGGCCAAGGAGTCTTCCTGACTCCCCAGTCCTGTAACCTTATTCTTCCTAATCAGCCAATCAACAAGTATTTATTACATGCTGGGCACGATGCTAGGTGCTGGGGATAGAAGTACCATGAATGCAACAATTTCTACTTTCAAGGGGGTTAAATTGCTAGCATGTTAGAAACTGGTATCTAGAGTAGGCAGTCAATAATGCTTCAGAAGCTCCCCAGGATCCCTCAGGTCATACATTGGTTTATAAAAATCAAGCAACTGTAATGGTTAAAATTGGAGTCCAGTTATTACTCAGCTCCAAATCAATAAAATGTGCTGCTGCTACACCAGATGCCAACTAGTGGCTGCATGCCACTGTCTTCTTCACCCCCTAGGGGCCTTTATGCCTAATCAAACAGTACAAGAAAATGAAGGCCTTGAAAAGGAAATGGAAAGAGTTTGTAGAACCCGTAGCAGGGATGCAACTTAAAATGTAAGAAAGATGGAGAAGCAGTGAGGCCGGCAGAGATTAGCTTCTAGCTTCGAGGAGATTAGGCTCTAGCTATCAAGCCAATCCTGGCTGACAAGCCATAGTGGTGCAAGCCCCAGGTGTTTTCATTGCTTCCCTTTCCTATCATTATCACATTTCACTTGAAAAAAAAAAAGACAATGAAAATCCCCAAACATTTCCCAATTATCCTGGTATTTCCCCAGGTAGTCCCAAAGAATCTCCCTTTCTTTATATGATTCCTGAACCTTCAAGGTGACAAAGACATGCATCAAGAATGAGTTGGCTCTGGTACTATATCAAGAAAGCCTTTTCATTGCACTCTTCCAAACTAACCTACCTTCTAAGACAAATGTACATATATCTCAGAGATGCTGAGATCCTTGCTTCCTACCTTGGCCTAACAAAACGCATAAGCTATTAACTAGTGCAGACATCTGCTGCTCTATAGGATTTCAAATCCTGATGATTTGAATCACTATGAACCCCGACACTTCTTTCATTATTATTTCATTATTACTATTTTTCATTTTATTTCATTATATTTCATTATTATTATTACAAATTGTGAAAAGATTTTCTCCAGTGGATTTTTTTTTCAATTAACATCAATTTCAATTTGACATTGCTATATGTGACTTCAGGAAAATAATTTTTCCTTCCCTTAGCCAAATATGAGAGTGGTTTTCTCTCTCCATAGCAAGGAGGCCAAAGGCTGTTAGACAATATACACATTCAAGCGTGGTCTTTTAAAATGTCCTTGATTTCTCCATCAGAAATGTGTTTATAAAACTCATTAACCTGAGGTCTCGGCTTGCATCCTGGCCTCCTCTCTGTGCGACCCAGGGCAAGTCACTTGCACTATCTGGATCTTCACCTCATCTATAAAAAGGGAATAATAACACTTACATGACCTCCCTCACAGAATGGCTCTGAGCAAAATGTATTGTAAATCTTAGAGCACTTAAAAAATGGGTCACCATAAAATGGTCTTTAAAGTATTCTGAAAACATGTGAAGAATGATTTGCTTTTATTCATGCTTCTTCTAGTCATAAAGATCTTCCTAGGTCTTCCATAAATTGTGAGAGCCAAAATAAACCCATCTTAACATCAATACTCAAGAACATAAAGCAACTCAACCATTACTTCAGCCCTTCATCCTCCAAAATTACCCACTGAAACAAACGAAAATACACTGTTCCAAGTTTCCAGTTCTTGGACCTCACTCCAGATGGGGCCACAGAGTAAACATTTCTAAAAAAAGGTTGTTACATACTTGTAAGAGAGAAGAAAATAGTCTTATGAATATGTAAAAAAATGTGATGTTCTGTAATATTCTTTGACTCATTTTACAAAAATTTCCCCAAATTCTGTCACTGGGAACTACAAAATTCTTTAGAAGTTATTCATCTCTAGAAGCCTACTCTCTTTTTTCCTTTTGGTTTTTCTTTTCTTTTTTTTTTTTCCATTTTGTACAGGTGTTTCGTATGTGACATAGAAATTTGTTAATTATTTATCAACAAGAACCCCAATTCCATTTTTGGAGAGCACTACTCCAAAGCTGTAAAATTCCCAAATTGTACACTAAGACCTGATGAAGGCAGAGTCAAGCATATTTAACTAGAATAATAGATAAATCATTGATTGGACCATATTTTGATCTTTGAATCCTTCATAGGATGCTTTGCACTTTTCATGGGTTCAATAAATACTTGTTAAATAAATGCATAAAGGCATAATTGTGCTACAGTTTCCTCAAAAGCAATCATTCTTTTTCTTTTCTTACAATATTAAAGATTTGTGTTATTATCTTGTAAACCTTTCACTGTTCAATGGTCTCAGACTTCAGGGCTATTACTCTTTCTTTAATCAGGCAGAATGACAAATAGCTCTCAAAGAACAGGGCTTTTGAACCACTTTATCAGACTGGTTTCACTAAGAGAAGAGATCTGCAAGCAGGGAGATTTGGATTTAAACCAATCCATGGGAGCTAAGCTCCATTCTTAATACCCTGGTTTTCCTGAAGAGGCCAGGTGGCAGGATGTGGGACAACCAAGCCTGACAAAGCTGGCTGACCGAGGGGTGGGACTGGAGCAGAGGTATTTAAATAACTCCTGAACTTTTCCACATCTGGAACTTAAAAAAAAAAAGTCAACCCTGTCTGCCACACAATCGTAAAATACCTGGCAGCCAAGACCTGGGGAAATGAGGTGGCTAGAACTCCCAGTGTAAAGTACTGCTGTCATTTCCAATACATCATCCTTTATTTGTATTATGCACAATAGAGAATGCCAGATTCTACATGTTCTCTGTGGCCCTTTGCAGAAAATATGTAATTCCTGCTTCAAGCAGCACAGCATTTTGTTTTTAAATCGCAAAATGTTAATAACATCTAAAATCAGTTTAATTCAACGACTATTACTAACATTCTGTCCACTGCAGCTAAAGATCTCCGAATTATCTTTACTTTATCTTAAAGGCGCAGACCTCTGGAGTGATCCAGAGGTGCACCCTTCCTCCCTACTCCCACCCCCTCCACATCTTTGCAGCGAGCACAGGCAAGCTCTCCCAGCCCTGCCCTCCCCCTCTCCCCATCCCATCACCGCAAGCTGCAAGCAATCTGCTCGCTGTCAAGCAACAACACTCGGGGTCAATGTCTGTGCCAAACTCGTGCGGCCAGACCCAAATGCCAAAGCCACGGCTACCGATGAATCGCGCCCGCGGCTTCGCCCCGAATCCGTCTATCTCACTGGAAGGTTTGGGGGGGGGCGAGGAGAGAAAGATCGGGGTTACCTTTGCGAGGCAGTAGTGAGCGCCCAACGAAATGCAAAAGTCCCGAATTAATGCACGAGAAGGCCGGGTGCAGACTGGAGGGCAGAGATGGCAGGGCGCTCCATGGGCAGCCTGAAGCCAGCTGGCTGGTTCTCACTGCAGGGCTACACTCAGTCCTGGCCGGCCGGCCTCCGTCCCTGAGCCGAGGGGCTGCTGCTGCTGCGGCTGCTGCTCCTGGGCTATGACTCTCCTCCACCACCGCCGGCCTCCTCTCCCAGCTGCTCCACCCCCGCAAGCTCCTATCCTAGATCCTCGAACTTGAAGCCAACGACTGCGCAAGTTCTCTTTTTCCTTTCTTTTAGCCCGGGTAATAATATATGAGCCCGGGGATTTCCAGCCGGGGCTCTGGGACTTTCCGACATGTGACTGTGACGCCCAGCGGCGGCTCTCTGCAAAGCACTCAAGGGTGGGAGGGAGTGCAAAGGGCGCTCGGGGCCGGCCAGGCAGAGCGAGCCGGCGAGCCGGCCGCTGGCCACCAGGGGGCTCCCTGAGGGTGTCGGGGGCCGGAGTCCGCCGGGACCGAGAAATTCCTCACCCTTCCAGCCCGGGGTTGTCCCCGCGTGACTCAACCTGGGCATTTCGGAAGCGCCGGCCGAACGTCATATCCATGTGGAAATCGCGGTGATGGGAATGAAGACGGTTCTTTTTTTTTCACCGTCGTTTTTGTATAAAAAATAGAAATCACCTACTTTGGAGAAGAAAAAAAAAGGGGGAGGGAGGGGGAAGTATAGAAGGAAAATCCTCGATTCCGCCCACGCACTCAGCCGCTAATTGCTGCCTCCCTGGGGGTGGCTGCGGGATGCTTGCTCGGGAAAAGCTCTTGCTGCTCTCATTTAGCGAGTGGGTAGTCCAGGAATCCTCGGGGGCAGTTTGGTTAAAGAACAGGGTCACAATCCCTTCGCCTTCTTCAGCAAGGCTTTCCAGCAACAGTCCCCATGGCCACACCCCCAGGAAGCACACCAGGTCCGAGCTGCTGAGAAGCTCTCCGAGGTTTCAACCCTACTGGCCTGCAGGTACTCCAGCCCTATGGAGTAAGATGGGGAATTAGGGCGTGTTTGTCTGCAGCATCTCTTTCTCCCTCCTTCTATTCACTGACACTGGACTGTCACCCCAGGTCATCTAAGTGCCCCACTGTGACCCCCACACACCCAACAGCACCCCATACTTTCAAACCTTTTTTGACCTCCAAGTAGTCCTCTGTCATCTTCCTTAGAAAATCCCCAGCTAGTGACTGATAAATTTGTTGGCGATAGAGACAGGGACTGTGATATGACTGATATAGGAAACTGCCGCAGGAGGAAACTTCATCTATCAATGCAGGTTGGCACCTTCTCTGCAATTTGTAATCTGAGTTGCCTAGAGCACTGAGTGACTTACCCAAGGTCAAGCAGCCAGACTTATGTCAGAGGTAAGATTAGATCCAGGCCTTTTCTAGTATCATCATCACCACCACCATCATCGTCACCATCATTACAGGCAGGATAGTTCAGAAGCCATGAAGATCTAGGTTTAAATCCTGCCTAAGGCACATATTGAGTGTGACCCAGGTCAAGTCATTTAACTTGTAGGCAAAGTTGAAGAGAAGGTATTATCTTCATTGGCAGAGGGAATTTTTCAATGCAATCAGAGATTCAGTATCTATTGTAATTGTTATTATTATTGGTAGTAGTAGTAATGATAATAACTTATATTTATGTAGAGGCCACAAAACACCTCCAAACCTCATTAATCAATCAATATTTTTTTAAATTGAGAAAGCAGTCAAGATTTATTCTCATGTTGAAAATCATTGATGGAAGCATCGTTGGACATTTTAATGCTAAAAACTTTTCTCCCAGGCATCAGCATTCAAAGATATGCCATTTGTTGTGCAATGCCCACATGTAAAGAATATCAACCCATAACATTTATTGAGTATTGACTATGTGCACAACACTGAAATATACTTATGGTCTGTACCATTTACTTTGGCACATAATTATACATGACAATAAATTGTTAGCTATGCTATATGAGTTGGACTTATTTCTCCCAAATGATTGTAAATTCCTTGAGAAAATGAGATTAGATGGTTTCTAAGATCCCTCCCAGTTCTCAATCTATGTCAACCAATATTTATTAAGTGGCTCTTATGTACCAAGCACTAAGCCAAGCACTGGGGATACAAAAAGAGGCAAAAGATTGTCCCTGCTCTCAAGGAGCTTCTAATCTAATGAGGGAGACAGCGTGCAAACAAATATATACAAAGCTATATGCAAGGGAAATAGGACATAATTAAGAAATAGAAGGTGCTAGAATTAAGAGGGGATGAAAAAAGACTTCCCATAAAAGATGGGATTTTAGTTATGACTTAAAGGAAGCCAGGGAAGTCAGTGAGTGGAGTTCAGGAGGGAGAGCATTCTGGGCATGGGAGACAGCCAGAGAAAAGGCTCCAGTTAAGAGATGGTATCTTGTTGATGGAACAGCCAGGAGGCCAGTGTCACTGGATCAAAGTGTACCTGGTGGGGAGTAAGGTGAAAGAAGACTGAAACGATAGAAAACAGCTAGTTTATGAAGGGTTTTGAATGCCTAGTACAGTATTTTGGTTTTGATCTCAGAGGTGATAGGGAGCTAATGGTATTTATAGAGTAGGGGAGTGTCTTGGTTGGACCTGCACTTTAGGAAAATCACTTTGGTAGCTGAATAGAGGATGGATTTGAGTGGAGAAAGATTTGAAGCAGACAGACCCGCCAGTAGGCAGGCTATTGCATAATCCAGGCATGAAGTGAAGATGACCTCCCCTAGAGTGTTGGCAGTGTCAGAGAGAGGGGGCATATACTATTGATGCAGTAACGTTAAAATTGATAGACTTTGTTAACAGATTGGATATAGAGAGCGACAGAAAGTAAGGAGTCCATGGGAGCCTAAGGGAGTGGAAGGATTGTGTTGCTTTCTACAGTAATAGGGAAAGTAGGAGAGGAGGAGGGTTTAAGGGGAAAGACAATGATTTCTGTTTTGGACATTTTCACTTAAAATGTATAGAGGACATCTAATTTGAGATGTTTGAAAGGCATTTGGAGATGGGAAATTGGAAGTTAGCAGAGAGTTTGGGGCAGGATAGTTGGATTTGAGAATCATCATCATAAAGATGGTTATTAAATCCATTGAAGCTAATGAGATCACCAAGTAGTGTAGAGGGAGAAGAGAAGAGGACCGAGGACAGAATCTGGAGGAGCACCTCAGGTACACCTACAGTTAGAAGTCATGATCTGGAAGAGGATTCGGCAAAGGAGACTGAGAAGGAGCAGTCAGATAAGTAAGAGGAGAACCAGGAGAGACCAGTGTTCTAAAAATCTTGAGAGAAAAGAGAATCAGGGAGGAGAGAGTGATCAACGTTTTCAAAGGTTGCAGAGAGATCCAGGACAATGAGGACTGAGAAAAGGCCATTGAATTTGGCAACTAAGAAATGATTGGTAACTTTGGAGAGAACAGTTTAGGTGGAATAATAAGGTCAAACCTGGATTTTAAACAGTTAAGAAGAGAGTAGGAGTAGGGAAAAATGGTTAGATAGAAGGGATGGTTGATCAAATGAGGGTTGTTTTTTTTCTTTTTTGAGGATGGGGGAGTCATAGGTATATTTGTAGGCCATAGGGAATGAGCCTGTAGACAGGGAAAGGTTGAAAATAAGTGATAGAGTGAGATGATGGGGCAATCTGTTGGAGGAGATGGGAAGCAATGGGATTGATTAGACAGATAAAGGGGTTAGCCTTGGTAAAGAGTAAGGACATTTCATCATGTGAGACAGAAATGAAAGAGGAGATAGTGGTAGAATCTATTTGAATGTAGGAAATAAAGAAGAGGGGGAAAGAAGCTCATGGCAAAATGGCCTCAATTTTTTTTTCCATAAAATATGAGTCCAGGAACTTATCTGAGAGGTTGTGGGGAGTCCAAGCTAGGGGTGGTTTGAAGAGGGTTGAAAAGGTTTTGAAGAATCACTAAGAGAGTGGGATAGTGAGTCAATAAAGGGGGTAGCATTACCTAATAAGGTAGGATTGCCCAGCAGCAGTGAGTGCCTACTTGTATAACATAAATTTGTAGTGGACCCAATCATAACAGTTGAGTAATTTTTTTCCCCACCTTTGTTCAGCTGCACATATATGTAGGAGTGAAGGCATTGAATGACGGGAGTGGTCCAAGACTAAAGCTTAACAGGGGAGTAAGCTGGGGGTCTGTAGACACCAGCTATCAGGATTTTCACTGGGCAATAGCACGAATCTTAAAGGGAAGAGAGGTTACTGAAAGATGGAGCTAAGAAGAGAACTCAGAAGTGGCAATGGAGAGAAAGGAGTATTCCAACTCCCTTGCCTTGGCCATTGATCCAAAGAGAATGAGTGAAGTGTGTAGCCAATACTGGAATGATCTCACTGAGACAACAAATCTATGAGGTACAGGCTGAATGGTGAGAATTAATATATTGAGTTCTTGGCCTGGATGTAGGAATACCTGGCTTCAGATCTCACCTCTAATACTAACTGTGTTACCCTGGGTAAGTCACCTTGCTTCTTATAGCCTCAGTTTCCTCCCCTGTAAAATGTGGATAAATACCATCTGTCCCACCTCACAGAGTTAGGATGAGAATCAAATGAGATAATGTATGTAAAGTGCTTTGCCAACCTTAAAGCCATATGTAAAAGTATCTTTTTAAAAAATCTTTATAATTGTCCCCATTTTACAGAAACAGACTAGGGGAAGTAACTTGCCCTACCCCACTGACCCAGGAATTAATGAGTTAATGATTGGCTTAGTTTGTTATACCTACTGATTAACATTTTCAGTTTGGGGCAGTTAGGTAGAGCAGTAGATAGAACTCCAGCCTTGGAGTCAGGAGGACCTGAGTTCAAATCTGGCCCCAGACACCTGACACTTACTAGCTGTGTGACTCTGGGCAAGTCATTTAAGCCTGACTGCCTCACCAAAGAAAAAATAACATTTTTATTTTAATTCCAATACTCTGCAGAATCTTAGAATTTGGGTGGTGTGTGAGTTCTTTAGAGAGTATGGGTAGGATTGTAGTGCCTCTCAAATCATACCATGTATGTAGTTGCTTTTCTGCATTTTGGCCCAACTATGGTTCTTACTGCTTCAGTGCTCTTTCTGCCCACAAGGGACCTGAAAGGCCTTGCAAATTAGAACTGTTTACTTTTGGAAGAGGAGACTTGAGGAAAATAGTAGTTAAGGGAAGTGTTTAAGATATCCTATGAATAGGTGGAAATGGAGATAGGATTCAGCATTA